CGTAAATTTATCGAGAATTTATCTTACTGTCTATCGAGATCGAGTCTATCGAGAATTGTCTATCAAACAAGCTACCTATCTTAGCACAAGCGAACTATATACGAACTTATGCAGGCTCTGAAACTACTAAGGTCTCGTCTAAGCTAAGGAATGCGAACAGAGTTCTTCTGAGGAAAAGCCGACGAATGGAAGAGCGGAAAAGATAAAAGACTCTGTGTTTACAGCCTGTCATGTGACTAAAAGTGAGACCGGCTTGCTGATGATCAATTTTTTGTAATATTAGTTGAATATCAATATAAGAATGGACATTAACATAATATTTATGCTGAGTACACTGTTTTTTTATTATTTTTTATTCCAGGAAGTATTTTTTGCTTTACGCCTTTTGATAGTATGACTATTAACTTTATTAAGGTTCAATATAGTCCAATTCTTCTCAATTTTTCGACTACAACACTCATTGTTGTCACTTCATCGTTTTGATATATTCAAGCAGAACCCCGAGTTCACGCAGCTATGCGTCTAGTTACTACTAAATAGTGTTGATTATACAATAGGAAACAAAGGTTGCGTTTTCACTAGGCATCCTAACTCGCCTAAAATTCCTTTAAGTGTTTATTGACACACCAACTTTAAACTAGTTAACCATGCAGACTGTTTTCACTTGACCTTTAGTACCAGCGTGATTGACAGAATGTAGTACGTATCTTGTTACACCCCGCGTACTTCAAAATAATGGCGGGAGATGAAGGTCTTGTGTTTACAATTCTCCTCTTAATCGCGACCATATTTCTTCGTAAACGTAGACGTTTTCTTCRCAATCTTCGGTCTCTATCCTTAAGAAGGAGACAGAGAACAAGTCTAGCACTGATTTTGTCCACACAACGACGACATCGTCCAAGAAGAAGGAAATTAGCATGGGTTTATCCTAGACCTCAGTTCTGGTTTGAGGAGATTTTGAACAACAGACATTTGGATCATTTGTGGCGAGAACATTTTAGAGTGAGCAGAAACACATTTGATTTCATTTGTAGAATTGTTGGTCCTTTTCTTGGCTGTGGTTTAAAAAGTCAAATAATTCTGAATAATCAGAATGTACGGGTTCCTTCTTAGCTTTCTTTGCTGGTGTTTTGCCTGCTGTCTGCTTTCCCTTTCCTGCCAACCTCTTACCCTGAGTAGAAGGGGTACTAGGCGTTTTCCCCTGTAGTGGACTACGATGTGCKCCGCCATCAAAAACATCATCATCATCACTGCCATTACTCTCTTTATCGTCAGGTAAGTTAACAAAAGAGGTGGATGGAGACTGATCGTCGAGCCCGCAGTCTAACACAGACTTGGGAGTGATATTAGGCTTACACCCCAACACTGCATCTAGGTCGTCATAGTATTCAAACGTTTCCCTGTCRTTACCTGAACGACCATTGTGGTCCTTCACCCGTTTGTAATCGTCTTCCAAATGCTTTATGCGTGCCTTACATTGCGTTCCCGTGCGGAAGCTGTTCAGTCCTTGATCAAGTAAGGCCTTGTTGAGTTGTGTTGCAATGGAGTCCCAGACTCCGCTGTTCCGTCGTTTGCTTATAGGGTAGTTTTCACGCCATATTTCGAGCAAAAATCTTGTCTCTGCATCGCTCCAATTTTTGCCTCGACCTTTAGATCCTGATGTCTCTCCTTTTCCTTCGAACGCAGAGTTGTCTTGATGAGGTGAAGCATTAAAATTTATCGGAGGATGCGGTATATTTCGGCCATCACTACTTTTAGAGCCCGGCGTCTCTTGGAGTGCTGAGTCATGAAGGAAAGCATTCAAATCCATCGGGCCACGAGCCGTATTATTTGGTTGTACRGAAGAAAGGRAACGAGGTCCAGTTGTAGTGGGAAAATATAATGTTTGTAGTGGCCTCACTTGTGGCGGATTGAGGTACGGGTAATACCGAGGAAACGCTGTTGGCGGTGAAATCTCAAACCGTCTAATAAGAATAAAAWAAATCAATCAATACGTTGTGTGAACATCTCAGTCAGTGAAAGAAGAAAATGTTTGTCATGGCATTTACATGTTAGCCACTTACCTAAAGTTTGAAGACTGATTATTGCTAGTTGAGTCGTCGTCCATTGTTGTAATGTACTCACAGCAGTAGCAATGTAAGGACTGGCCTGGTATATGTTTGACCTTTCAATGACATGTTTGTCAAGAAACGTCGCTGTGATTGGTCGATGTGTTTTGTTGGACAAGTTAAACCATCYTGCTAGGTAGTCTAACTTTTGTGGTATTTCCTGTGTTTTAGGCACGTTTTTGCCATTAGAAACTACGGTGTTTTCACTGTATATCCGGATTAACGACACCTTTAGGAATTTTAGGCTAGTAAAAACCCTTAGTGAAAACACACGGAAAGGAATTTGTATAATTTATCACCTATTTTGTAGTATTTATATTTCACGCATTTAGTGCGAGCACTCTAGCAAACCCTCGGGTTTTTTATACATATTTAAAAAAATGTGTTTTATTTAAGTTGTGAACATTCAGCGAGGTTGAAAATCTACCAAGTCGGGTCCTTTCATGTTTGATTATATCATTCACTGTTGAAGTTTTGGAGGGCAATAGGAATAAACTGCATTCAATATATATTTCGTAACAGCAAGGTCTTCGAGGATAAAATAAATAAATAATTGGGTTTTCTGTGGCAGAAATAAAGGAGCCTCGTCTRGATGAGGTCGATCCCAGTCTCTCACTTGCAGTTCTATAAATAGAAACTTTGTATTTCCTTCATTTGGAAGATTTCGTTGGTTTGTCGAAGGAAAGAAAACTTCTCCCATAATGGCAGGCTGGATAACGGCCCCCACGAAGAGATCAGATGCAGTTGACTATAAGAAACCTCTCGAAAAATTTATAAAAAACACGTTTAGCGAGGAAATATTAAACGAAAATGCTGATGCTATTGCAGACTTGAACAAGCTTCGAACAACCGCTGTAATGCAAAATACTGAAAAACACGAATCCTCTTTGCAGCCTTTGTTGAGGTAAAGTTATTTATATTTCATTTTAATATTGCCTGATAATCAGTCACACTTGAGCATGGCTATTAACTTAATCCAATTCAGTCACTGCTCTCAACTGCAAAGTTGAAAAACYATCAGCTTTTTATAAACTCAGGCAAGTGTAGTCCTTGTATAGAGCTCTTTAGTAGTCATGTTGTAGCCATCTAATATGTATAAAAATATAAATTGCACAACGAAAGTGAGGCCACAAAGGTGGGAAGTACAAATATGAGAGACGAATTGGTATTGACTTCCAGCAAATAAAAAGTAGAACACAAAGGGCAAATTCCAGTGTCTCTTTGTGAGCACACTCTGGTTTGAGTAAGAGCCCTTAAAAAAGAGAACTTGTTAAAGATGATGATTGACAAATGGATATGTAAATACTCTGAACACTACAATGCAAAATAATGTGGGAACTTTGGTTGCACATGCAAGTATGTGCTGTTTGTGATCAACACATAGCATAGCTCTAGGTGGCACATAGCACCTCCAACAAGATTTTCTAGGCTTCTTGGTTATCTGCTTTCTCTCCCTGTATTTTATCGTCATCATGATTATGCTTTCCCTAATTTGGCAGTACAACAGTCTTAAGGTGCTCTTTTAAAACAGTCTTCAAGGAATTGCAAGAAATCCTTCTTCCATTCTTCTTGCCTGCTGATTGTCGATGTCAAGAGCATGCACGACCTTGTTTCACAGGCTAACCTGTGTGTCTCCAAACAGCATTTGCTTTTGATATGAGTCATTGCCCATTGTGGGCCAGATATGTAAGGTGCTGTTTCACACAGAAGTTTTAGTAACAATAAGAAGTTGTCTATTGGATATCTCAAATCTCCAGTCAACTGGGTCAGCTGTGGTGTCAGTGTTATTCACCTTTCTCTTCTTCCATTTTTCCATCATTTTCCTTACAATGCAGGAACCCATTCCATACGACTTCCATTTTTTTMATGGTCTTAAATTCTTTYYGGTTTGACTCCAGATCTATTTTGGTCCTCCTCCTTTCCTCTTTCCTTGTCCAAGTGTTCACTTCACAGCTCTATTCAGGTACAATATTGGARGAATCTTTAAAAAAAATTAAGCAAAAAAGCAGGCTTTTGGTGAAAATCAATCAATGGTTTTCCATGGCAATGTCCAAGTGTATCAAAGTTTGTTGCAGGTTTTCATTGCTGGTCAGATTACAAAAATGTTTTTGTATGATTTTGCATTCGATTGCTTCAGTTGAATTAGAATACATGTATCAACAACTTTCAGGATCAAAAAGATGCCTTCATAATGCCATAGAAACAATCAATCAAGAATCATCAGCATCATAAATTGGTCTGCTTTAACCTCTGCCATTTATTTGGGCAGAAATGTCTATTATCAAGCATTATTTTTATTTTTCGTACTCAATTTGTCTCTCTCCCTCTTGTGTGTGGTGTACCACAAGGTTCAGTTCTTGGTCCTCTCTTGTACATTCTTTACACGTCACCTGTTGCTGATATCCTTCGAAAACTACTAATATCTTATTACCCGAGTGCAAGGGCCGTAGGGAAATTATGGACTGTTTTTTTTTCCACTGCCTTATGGCCAGAGCGTGTAGCACGAGGGCCATAAAAAGGGGAAAAAACGAGGTTCCATAACTTCCCGTACGGCTCGAGCAAGTGAGGTTAATAAGATATTTATTATATAGCATTTTCAGAGAATAATAGTAAAATTAATAGAGAATCGGACATAAAAATATGTTTTTGTTCATACTTTTCTTGYCATTCAAAATAGAAGGAAAAAAGAAAAGCCTGAAAAAACTTGATGGCAAAATTTGGATTCATTTTTGACTTTTTTTTATACAGTACAACTAYAAAAAGWGAGAAAGCRAGCCTTTTTAAGATAAAAAACGTTTTTTCTAGTTTCRTCTGGTCCGTACGAGAAAGTATGGCCCGTTTTTAGCCAATGAAATCGTGTGTTACATCCRAGCTATATAATAAAATGTCATATCATATCTATGCTGATGACACTCAATTACCAGTATATGTCCCATTCTCCTGCAATGATGACTTGTCCTTTGACGATGCCATAAAAAGAATGAATGATTGCCTCTCTGACATTGAAGATAAAATTGAATTTTTAATTTTTTCTTCAAAAACAAATCCTCAATTATCTTCCACGCGTAATCATCTTGTTTTTGGTTCTGAACTAATATATCCTGTAAAACTGCAAGAAACATTGGTGTTATTTTTGATTCTTCTCTAACCATGGTTCCTCACATAAAGAATACCTGTAAGAYTGCCTTCTTTCACCTTAGAAACATTTCCAGAATCAGAAAATATCTATCTCTCAAATCAAATGAAATCCTGATCCATGCCTTCATCACTTCAAAACTTGATTAATTACAATTCTGTTTTATATAGTCTGCCGAAAAGTCTYGTCTTGTCTACAGTCKGTGCAAAATGCTTCCGCTCGACTTGTATCTCTCTCCAGGAAACGCAACCATATCACTCCTATTTTAATCAATCTTCACTGGCTACCTGTTGAATTTAGAATAAAATTTACAATTCTTCTTCTGGTCTTCAAAGCTCTGAATTCTACTGCTCCCATTTATATCCAAGAACTTGTTCAAAGATACCTTCCTCCCCGAAAACTTTGTTCGTCGTCTCAAGTGTTGCTGTCTGTAAAATCATACAATCTGAAGATGGATTCATTCGATACAATCCTTATACACTCATTGTGCGGCTAAAGGATAACTTTAATACGTTTAGCAAGTACTTGGATTGATGGGTATTTTCTTTTACATTCAATTCAATTCTCATTTAATTGTGCATGTTAATGTATAGCTAAACGTAATTAACTCATACAAAATAGTGTAAATGTAAAGGTCTTTATTTTTATTATTTTCAAGAAATGAAGATCCACTTTCAACCTGATTCAACTAAACTTTGGTGACCTTAAAATTAAATATTGATATTTGTTCACTGATATTATTTGTTTCATGCTTTAGATATTACGATCAGCTTGTATCAATGGAGGGAAAATTGCCAATCACTGAATCTCAGGTCAGAATCAATGTGAATTACAGCCATTCTCACCCACTTCACCAACCAAAACTGTCTCAAAAAGAGGAGATTCAACTGTTGTATTATTTTTCAATCAAGGCAGTGATTTTGAAGTAATGTTTAGTAATGTTTAGTCCGACAATTTGGACTGGACGGGATTTCAAGTCCGTGCAATTAGTTCCAGTCCGAGGCGTCAGCCGAAGACTAGAACTAATTGCAAGGACTTGAAATCCCGTCCAGTCCGAATTGGAGGACTTTGAACGACTTCTCATACTCATTAATTATTCAGGAGGGGTAAAAAGCAAAGGAAATACATATAACAGAAATATCCACTAAGGTTTTCAGTTTTCATAATTTTAAATACATGAAGCACCGTTTGTTGTTCTTCAATTCCCTGACGGCTTTCTGAAACAAAAGCTATCCATTGAAGTTGTCTTTGTCTGCTATTCATGGCATTCCTAATGAGCCTAATCCATAAGATTTATAAGTATGTTATCTTCCGAGGAATCGCATCAGAAACTCGGTGGTGTAATGGTATAAGACGGCGCATATAGACTGGACGGTAGGGGATCGAGTTGTGAGGGAGTCTCATGTATCAAAGACCTTTTTTCACTAGATTAATGTTAAACTGATTATTTCTAATAATTTGATTATCATTAGCTAGTAGTAGTTGGAAACATGGTAGAAGTAACTGGAAATAAGGTAGAAATAGCAGGAAATAATGTAGATTGAAGTAACTTGAAAAAGGTAGAAGTAACTGGAAATAAGGTAGAATACAAGGTACGAGTACTTCCTCTGGTTTCAAGTTACTTCACATGGTACAAATTACAATCAGGGATTGGCTGGATACCTCATGAATAATTAATGAGTATGAGAAAAMATATTATATTAATTTATATTGAGCTAAAAGCTTTGAATAAGATCCATTGATTTTACCTAACCTGCTTGGTATCTTAGGCCCACACTCATCAGCTGTATGAACAAAATACATGAAAAAAGCATTTTTGAGACTAGCTAGAAAATATACTCAGCATAAATATGACTCAATGAAAGACCACTGGATGAGGCAAACAATTAAATTGTAGGGTTTTTTTAGTTTGCCCTACCCCACCCCAAGTACTTGTGGATTTGTAAGAGATAGAAAAATCACTTCATTGTCRTTTCAATTTGTTAACATTTTGAGTTTACAAGAWGATAAGGTTATGTATTGTATTGGATCCGTACTGTAGTCATCATGAAAGCTTGTGTTTTTCAACAGTACAAAGTGTAAAATGAAAATTCTGTTTAAAAATTATTCAATTTTATGCATACAGTATCTGTATCTGTTGTTGTGCAATCAACACCTAATTTCAAATTTTGATACATGTACCTGTCAGTTTTACATTGATCAGCTGTCAGTTTTGCACGTTTTCTTTAGTCCATAGAATTCAATGAAATTTGATATTAGATTTATTCAATTGGAAAGGAATCGGCTGTTTGGGTAAACAGCTGTTACTTTGCAAAGAACATTTTGGCAAGGCTTTTAACACACTGTAATTGAAATTGATTTTGTATTATTTTATAGATTCGTATTTCTTTTACATGGTATGATGCATTTGACAAGGGCTCTATGTTTGGTTATAAAAAAGCCTGTAAGTACAATTKATTCATTCTAATTGTCTATTATCATATTTTACAATTTCTTACTGAAAAACATGATAAAATTTAAATCATTWAAAAAAACAGACCTGAGACCAATTGATACTCAAACAACATAATTTGTTAGCATGATGCTTTAAATTTCATACTGTATAATAATTAAATGAATCGAGGTCCGGATAATCGAGGTTTGGCTGTACTGACTTATGACCAATTGCTTATGACTAATAACAATGCAATGTGCTCTCCTTTGTTACAGCATTATCAAGCAGTGCTTATGAAAAGATTTGTCTTTTGTTCAACATTGGTGCCTTACAAAGCCAGATAGCCAGTGCACAAAATCTAAATTCAGAGGATGGTGTTAAACTAGCAGCAAAGATGTTCCAGGTACTAGCATAGATACCATATGGTAACATGAAATGTTGAGATGACATTAACTTCAGCCATTTCACAGGAAGCAGCTTTAATAAAGATAAATACAAAAACTCATACATAATTAATGAGTTATTAGGCCAATAGAATGAGCCTATTTGGTCACATGCATGGACCTTTATATCTGATAAAACACTCCTTATTAGTATTCTTTATATAAAGAATACTAATAAGGGTGACCTTTATCAGATATAAAGGTCCATGACCCTAGCAAAGGTCTCAGGTTTGAAACCTGATCATTGACCAATGCAGGATGTCAACCGATTTCAGTGAACAGCCAAGAGCG